TATATTGGATTGGGTTGGATTTCTTTGGTGTGTTACACACCAAGTATAACCCATGAAAAGTCCTGAGACTTATTTCCAGTGGGGTCCTTCTGATGGTGAATGTTGCAGTACACTGGGAGACAATCCCCTACTCTTTTCCGTGTGTCATTTTGCACACGGGACCAACGGCGTATAAACGTCTCATCTGAAAAATGGTGCGCTTTTGAAACTCGCATTTCAGCCCTCCAGCTAAAACACAAGGAGAGCAGCGATGGGAATTGAACCGGGCACACACAGTGGCTACCACCAGTTTAGCCGACTGAACTAGATGCTCACTTGTTGCTGCTACAACTACAACTAAACTACCACCAACAGCACCTATAATTTTGAATATTTTTGAATTACCACGATTATTACCATCTTGTGTCATCATTTGTATTATCTTCACCATCTACATTAGATTTATAATTATATTGAATAGTTAAATTGTCATTTCTAACCAAGATAGACCTATTAGTATTTAGCGTATGACCTACTGCCCAAAAGAATACATAACAATAAAAGATTATAATGACAATCTAACAATTAACATTAGTTTTGGAAATGGCAGTCAAACATAAGCTAACGTAATATCCGTTCTAGACTGTATACTGACGAAATGATCTTAAGCTTAGTAGATATAGTGGTTAGAGAAACCACGGGTCCTTTGTGGTGAAACTAAACCTGAGCTTAGGGATTGATATCAAGTCTCAAGTGCCAGCGTCTGATCGACAAGGCAAAGGAGAGAGATTCCTGATTATAGGACACTAACTTGAAGGCCAAGATTATTGTAGTATGAGAAAGTTTCTATAAATTCATGCTGGAATTTCCCTTCTTTGTACAATAGGCCTAATGATGAAGATTATAATTATAACGATTATAATACTAGAAGTAATAATAATGACAATACCAATATCATAACAATAACATAATTATATGTTAATGCTTGCGGTACACCACGTAGATAGTTCTGAAAAGAACTGTTTTTGGTTCAGAACTATAATTATAATTATTATAATACTAAAAATAATAAACGATAACAATATCAATAACATAATATTATTATCATTGATGTTATTGTTAATATTATCATCATCATTGTCATTGTTCTTATCAAAATTATTATTATTATCATCATCATTATTATCATCACCATCATCTCCATCCTCATTATTATTATCATTATTATTTTATTATTATTACAAGTGATAAAAGGCTTATACAATTCTTTTGTTATTCTTAGTGAATTATACATAAAAGAAAATGTTTACTTAGTCGTCTGACAATGTATCCGCCAATTTCCGTATCCTCTGCCTACGCGACTGGTGCGTTTGAATGCCTAACGTTAGGAGCATGTACGACGTCAGCAATACTTAACTTTTTATCTTTAATTTACGACTTAATTTTAAAGGTTAACATTATTATTTGATTAATTCTATTTTAATGCTTCGGCCAAAATGCAATAAAAAATACAATCAATTTGAAGTTTTTACGTTTTCACCTTTTCGTTTCTGCCAATTTTAACGTCTAAGGAAACCTCATAGGCATATTAGAATAGATCAATATTGACGTCACCATTGTGGTTCTTCAAATTATTTTTAAATATCAACAAAGAGAGCCAAATGGAAAAATATATTTATTCCACTGCAACGGGTCCGATGTAAATAATGAAGGTTTTTTGAGCACCTTTTTCCTTTCTCTTTCCCTTAAACGCTCTTGATTAGATAATACCTTCTACTTAGCGGCAGGCCCAGGAGAAAATAGACGGGGGGGGGGGGGGGGGGGGGGGGGGGGGGGCACAACAGAAAACTGGTCGGCGAAAACGAGAGGCGAAGCAGCACCGAGCAGGGAAAGGTATGGAGGAGGTGTTCCCTGTTGACGTTCGAACTCGAACCAGAATGTCAAAGAAGCTCTTATACAGCATCTCACGACCAGGTATGATATTAAGCCTACGAAGCATCCTACGACTAAGTGATTGTGCAAGGTAAGATTTGGTGACGGATTAAAATTTAAAAAGTATGAACTGGTCGATGTACGGTATACCTTAATTGACGTTTCCGAAGTGTCAATCAAACTTAACAACTGACCAATCAGAACAAGGCCTGGAATACGTGTTGTCCAACAAACGCACGAGTTTGCGTATGTTTTTACTCTGTCGTTTTGTGGGACCTTAGGGG